CTCTCTCTCTCTCTCTCTCCCTCCCTCTCTCTCTGTAAAAGCGAGTAGGAGAAAAGAATCTGATCCTTTCCTTAATTGTCAGTGACTATCCAGGTTCAGGAATCACATGTATTAAGAGAATATGTTCCAGTGCTTAGAATAAAGCTTCCTTCTCATGTATGAACTTATGGGATATGAGTCTGAAGGATTCAATTTGAAGTAGGAAGATATATTGTGAAAACAAGAATCTGTCTTTGCTGCACAAAGCCTACCCTGAAAGGAAACCAGTCCTTTTTGAGACGTGATGCAATCTCTTGTCTGAAGTATGTTTATATCCCCTCGACAAAACTTTATTAACTTTGCTTGCTGGGGTCACCAGGCACCGCTACTGAAGTGTCAACAAAGAAAAAGTGTCACAAGCTACATGTTTACTGCCAGGCATAGGTTAATTTGACAGATTAATTCAATCCTACACACAAATTCAAAGTTGGTTCGGGTCGACTATATAAACTTTTTTATTTATAGGATGAGTTTAACTTTTATGTGTTGATAGTGTAAAAGGAAGTTTTAAAATTGGGCATGCAACCTACTAAACATGTTAAAGTAGTATATAGTTTGTGTAATTTTTTTTTTGTATTGTCGGTGTATACACTTTAAATTCCTAAATTACTTTTGTGAATTCCAATATACCCCACGTCTCTTTTTTTTATTTGATTTTGGATCTATCACGCCCCAACCTTCTAGGACGGACAATACCTTAACTTGATCGAGCGAACCAATCTGTCATGATATTTTCTATACTTATTATCATGACCGGATGATATGGTACAAGTTCGTAGGCCTCGCTGTCACGCAGAACGTTAGTTTTAATCTTCGTTGGTGCACTTTAGAATCCTTCGAAATTTTGCGGGGCTTTACAAGAGCAAGTTAATGCTTTCTAACTAGACAAAAGTTTATGTTAATTGATAAGATACTTGAAATATATTGTGGTCTATACACAGGCTAGAGTTTGATGAATCAACTTTTAATTGAACTATACGTTTATGCTTTTCTTTGATTGGCGACGCTGCTACACTTAGAGCTTTTGCTCTTTTCCCAACCCGTTTTTGCCTTGACAAGCTTCTGAGACTTTGCTGAATTAAATTAAAAAGGGGACATCTGTACTTCCACAATACACTCTTTACTCAAATGATTCGAATCAAATCCGATTGAAAAGCTTGAAATCAATTGAAGAAAGGGACTGCTAATGATAAACGTCGAGTATTCTACTTTAAAGCATGTTGGGAATTAAAAACACTTTCTAAGCCCTCCAAAAGATAGAATTGAGGTTTCTCTATAAATTTAAAGCTTCTCGTTACAGTACAGGAATAGGAGCGAGCCTTTATCATGATACATTTCACTTTGTCGCCTTAGGCCTCGTTTGTTCATAGAGTTTTTTTTCCTTTTTTCGATCTCTTTTTCAAAAATGTGTTTGTCCATGAAAAACTATAAGTTTTGGAGATTTTTTGAAAAAGACTTTATTCAAAAACCAAAAAATAGTTTTGACCACTTTTTCAAGTTTTTCAGAAGAAAAAAAAAATGAAATACATATCCGTACATAATTTCAAATTCTAGATGTCATTTTTCGACTTAACTTCGAATGCTACCTTTTTCCAAAGTCAATCATTTTTATGTCCAAACTCCTACTTGATTTCTTGGTACAAGTGTGCAATCCCTTTATGTCTCTTTCTTATGTGAAGTGGTCAAAAGTACGAGGAAAATCTAATAGCAGAAACCTTGTCCTAGAATTAAAATGCAATGGTACAGCCAAATTTATACGTGGTTTCTAGACAAGTGAATTAATTTGATCCTGAAATAATAAAATAATTAAAGAAATGCGCAATACTTAACCTTAAAATGAAAGTAAAATCACGATAAACAGTAATTCCGGGGGCAGAGCTTCCAGGCTCAACAGTTGTCACGACCCAATTTCTCCTATAGGCCGTGATGGCGCCCAACATCGCCGCTAGGCAAGCCAATAGTGAACTAGCCATGTATTTATTCTTTTTAATAATTTCAAAGTAGTGAATTTGTATTTATTAAGTGAAAGAGAAGTGAAAATTTTAATAAAGTAAGCGTCAGCTCATAAAGGAGCAAGTGCAGTGATATAAATACCCAATAACCATGAAATGTCTACTAGTATGTTTTCAAGATCCGGTGTCACAAGTGAATGGGCAACTAGCAGAATATACAAAACACTAAGCTACTGTCTGAAATAGGGTAGACAGAAAGTAAATACAAAAGAGAGACTCCGGGTGCTACAGAACGAACTCAGAAAGCAGCTCACCACTAAGCCTCGGGGTAACGGGGCTGCGCGCCTGACTGACTGCTAGATGCACCTGCCTCAGATCCTGCACGATTAGTGCAGAAGTGTAGCGTGAGTACATAAACAATATGTACCCAGTAAGTATCCAGTCTAACCTCGAAGAAGTAGTGCCAAGGGGTCGACATCGACACTTACTATGGGCCAACAATAAAAATACAGAAAATTCTAAATAGGCATGGAATATGTGAATAATAATAATAACATAATAGCAAGTAGTGAATAAATAATTTTTTAACTGATAGTAATTTTTTTTAAAAAAAAATCTCCAACTAACACATACTAACTCCAAATCAATTTCAGGCCAATAAATGAATTATAACCCCTCATTTCATAAAAATAATAATATCAAGTGTATCCGGCCCTAAGCATTAACACACACGATTTATGTCGAGGTCGTACGGCCCGATCCAGAATAATGTGTACATTGCCGAGTGTCAAGTGGCACGAACCATAGATGCATCTATTATACTGCCGAGGCGTTCGGCCCGCTTTACAAGAAGAGAGAATACTCTATGAACATCCGATTTAAAAGCTATTACAAGACTAATACACAAGGAAGCACAATTTTCATTAACGGTCAAGTAACCCGCCAAAACTCAAAGTAAGTGAAATTCGGTCTTTATGAATCCTTTATCAAGTTTCAATATAGTTTAGGCACTTAAATTAACAAGTAAGTGCAAATAGTACAAGTATCTCATGATTTGGGTCCGAAAAATACCCGGACTTAAGCATAATTAGTAGTTACGCACGGATTCTCATCACCTCGTGCGTACGTAGCCCCCCACAATTAGAAGCAAATAGAAATTTAAATCACCAATGGGGTAAATTCTCTCTTACAAGGTTAGGCAAGAGACTTACCTCGTCTCAAAGCTCACTTTCCGGCCCACGAACTCACTTAAAAGCCTCAACTTGATGCCGAACAATCCGAAGCCAGCCAAATATTATATAAATTAATCAATATACGCTCACAAGTTCATAATTTAGCTATTAGAGTAATTACCCAACCCAAATTACAAGATTCCTAAAATTCACCTCAGGCGCACGTGCCCGGATTCCGAAAATTTTCGAAGATAAATATTACCCATAGCCTCACGAACTCAAATATATAATTTTTTACTAAATTCCATAACCAATTTCGTGGTCAAATCTCATTTTTACCAAAACCCTAGGTTTTTCACAAATCCCTTTTAATTTCACAAGTTTTTCATGTTAAATCTACCTATGATCTGCGTATTTAGCTAAAGAATTGATAGGGATCACTTACCTCTTGATGTTGAAGAAATACCTCAACAAAATGCTCTCAAAATCGCCTAAGACCAAGTGGGAAATGAGGGAAATGAAGCTAAGTCCCGTAATAAAAAGCCCTTGCACCAGTTGCAGATGTCGCATTTGCGACATAATGTTCGCAATTGCGAAAGTCGCAAATGCGAAGCCTGACCAACTCTGCCTCAGTCGCAAATGCGACACAAGGCTCGCAAATGCGAAGTATGGCATCTCGCAAAAGCGAAAGAAAACTTCGCAAATGCAAAAAATGCTACGCCCACGTGACTTCGCAAATGAGAATCCATCAGTTCCGCCCCAACCTCGCAAATGCAAAGACATTCTCGCAAATGCGAATAAGATCTCGCATTTGCGAGACTTGCAGAACCAGCCAAAACCAGCAGAACTGAAGTTCTTCAAAACACACCGAACCGCGTTCGAAACTCACTCGAGCCCCCGGGGCTCCACACCAAATATCTACACAAGTCTAAAAATACCGTACGAACTTGATCGCGCAATCAAAACACTGAAATAATATCTAGAATCACAAATCAGATGCCAAAATCCATGAATTAAATCATGAAACTCAAAAACATCTAGAAACACTTTCCCACGTCCGATTCCTATCAAATCAACTCGGAATGAAGCCAAATTTTGCATACAAGTCATAAATCACCATACAGAACTATTCCCTGGATCGAAATCCCAAAAGGACCTCGATAACACCAAAATCTACTCCAAACCAAACTTAAAGAATTTAAAAAACCTTCAATGTGCCAGCTTTCAATATTAAGCGCTGAAATGCTCCCGGGTCATCCGAAACCCGATCCGAACATACGCCCAAGTGTAAAATCATCATACGAACCTATTGGAACCGTCAAATCTCGGTTCTAAGGTCGTTTACTCAAAACGTTGACTCAAGTCAAACTTAACCATTTTCAGCCAATTTAAGAAACAAAGTGTTCCGATTTCAACCCGAACCCTTCCATACCCTAACTAACCATCCTCGCAAGTCATAAAATAGTA